GTTAGAACTACCTTGTACAGCATAATAAACAGTACCACATGAAAGTACTGCTCAATAGCTTTCATTTGAATGGTCACACACTAGGGTTTCATCCACAGCATTGAAAGTTAGAATCACCTTGTACAGCATAATAAACAGTACCACGTGAAAGTACTGCTCAATAGTTTTAATTTTGTTGGTCACACTAGGGTTTCATCCACAGACTTGAAAGTTAGAACCGCACCTCACAGAGCATAATTACGGATACCACATGAAGGACCTAATTAAATGCAATAGGAAGTTATTAAATTTATTCTCACCTTCAATTTTCAGACAGTGAATCACTTGGCGGGCTGCAACCAAATTACGCTTTTTTGATAACAAAGAAGTTACGGCAGCGAGGAATTAGCCTAATTGTGGGTTCATCTAGTTCAGGTGAGAAGAAATTAGCTGCTTTTGTTATGCTGTAGTCAACATTGTTTACTAAAAGTCTCGCGTTTTCAAACTTCACCATCCTGTTCCATGTTCGCCATAGCTGATTGTGCTCGCTTGTACAGGGCTCCTGTCTTTTCCTGACAATTGTCTACCTGAATTTAATATTTCTCTGGGTCAATGCGAAGGTCCCTTTTGTAAAGAAGACGAGGTCCAAGGGGTCACTTCATTTGATGAGGCCGGGATTTCATTAAGGGGCCGGCACCGGGCAAATTGACCGGCTGTAAGGATGATTTTGCTCACCTGGCTTGACCATCTAGAGGAACGTTTTTTGTATATAAAGGAGCCCAGTTCAAATAGCTGTGCCCGCCAGTGAAAACCAGTTTCCCTCCTGCTGAAAGCGCTAATGAAACCCCTGAGAGACCGGAGAGGAGTGTCTCGAACTAAATTTTTTGTGCTAGGAAATAATGTTACGTCTGTCCATATTGATAATTAAATTTCTTTTATATTTCATCCACAGAAGATGAAGGCGATGACGATAATGGTAATTCTTATTTTTTGGTTTTGTTGTCTTTGTTTTTTTTCTGGTGGTGTATCGCTTACTTCCGATTTTCTGGTAGACAAAGTTTTGGCTTCTTTCTGTAAGCTCTTTTATAAGTTTTCAGCCAAGCAAAGAACAAACAAGCTCCGGTAGAATTCCTCGTCGGCGTTTGAGTTCTTTTCCTTCCATGCTTATGCATTTAACGATGTTGTGCCAATTGTTATTCAAGCCCTAAACAATCTCGTTGTTTTGACTTCATTTTACTACGTTGTAATACACCATAGACGAAACGTGCTTTGCTTCACGATTTGATCGAGGACTAGGCTGATTTTAATCTATTTCAAGGACGTTTTTTGGACCTAAATTACATTCTGAAATAAAATGGGACCTGTAAATTAGGTCTAACCCCGGTTTTAAAAACTTCTCTACATTTTTCACTGATGGTGCGCCATCCTTTAACAAGCTTCTTTGACAGTTGTTAATCTTTTCTTTTTAGGTCATCCTACAAAATTAACGCGAAGGTAAGTTGACGGCAATTTTTATATTACAAAAGGACAGATTTTTGGCAAATTAGTGTAATTAAAAGTGATCTAATAATTGGTGATTTTGACCGGTATTTACACATTTTAACGCAGAGTCGTGTTATCATGGGGTGGTGAAAAGTTAACTGAACTTCAACCATGAAAACGGAAACCAAAAGTTGCGACAAGATTTTCGTGAGCCTGCCTCATGATGACTCTATGATGGCCTTGTCGTCGCAATAAATCGTATAACAACTTTGAACGATAGCGTTCGAGATGGTTTAAGTGATATTTCTATGACGCAACTTGTGATACAGAGTGGTTTTCAATTGAGTGTTGTAAAACCAAAACCAAAGTAATTACTTTAGGCAATTACAAAGGACACAGACAATACATCAAAACTCGAAGTAATTACAGGTAGCTGACGCAAAGCGCGGGAAAATGCATGCGAACGCATCATAATTGGTTTTGGTTGTACTTCTCATTGGATGAAAAAGTGGCGCGAGTTTTTTAGGCCAATCGTGTGGCGTAGAAAGTGCAAAACCATTTACTTTTCGACACTCAAATGAAAACCGCTCTAATTGAATAATGTTTGTTTTACTACTGGAAATCTTTTTCAGGCGGTTGGACGCTGAATTCGCGCAGCTCGAAGGAGAGGGAACAGAACAGGGTATTAAAAAAAGTCAGCCTTGTGTTAATAGTTCTTGCAAAATGTTATTCCCTTCTTTGTTCTTATCACTATCAACAGTCAAAATCTACAATTACGATTTCTCAACGTTATAAGTGGTAAATGAATTTCTAATCGTCGTTTGTAATCCGTGTCAATCTTCTCCATCCTGAACCATCCTTGTTCCGTTATGGATTATTATTATTATCTATTTGGTGTTTTTCCATCTTACTTATGTCATTTTGAGGTTTCCTTCAATTAAAAGAAATTTTTACGTGGCCAAAACAACTCAAATTATTATATGGCCAGCTCCGTGAGCGGGAAAGATGAATCAAATCCTGCGCTGTGATTGGCTATCCGAGCGGGCAAGATGGAGCTATCTTGCCCGTTCGGGACTACCCGCTGTGTCTCGCAAGAAAAATTTCCGCGAGAGCGATGTAGTAAATCCTTCATTGACCAAGCTTGTTCGGTCAAGATGACTGGATATTGGCCTCGTTCTTTTTTTGCGTTTATGGACCTCGTCTCCGTCTCGGTCCATAAACACGCGAAAAAAGAATTTGGCCAACATCCAGCCATCTTGACCTCACACTTGGTCAATAACCCATGTATACCGTCACTGAGCTCATTTAACTTGCAGCGGATTATGAAGTTTTGTGATTGTTTTGTTTGTTGCTGCAGGTATTCGGCCGTACTCTGCATTCGCGCCAACGATAAGAGCGGGAATCAGCTTGAGAACAGGGTTTGTAAATTGAATTTCATTCCTTAAAGCCCCGAGAGGGCAAAAATTAAAGTCGCGCCCACTTACATGTACTTGCTTAGATGATAACATATTTTGCTTGCCTTAATACTGACAGTCATTGTTGCAGAGAAAGTGTAAGAAAGAGTCGCGCCCTGTAGTCTGAGAAAAGCGCGGGAAAAGTAAAGCGTGGATTTGTAGCTGATTTGTCATAACTGCGTTCTCTTAACTCTGATTGGCTAGAATATTTCGCAAGACCATCGCGCTTTGCAAACGCCAGAATACCAGGAGAACTGATCATTTCAATGTAGCGTTCTATAGAAATTCAGCTGTTTTTTACTTGGTGTGTTTTTTACTAAGTGGCCTCTTTTTAATCACAGGGTTCAAAATTTTGCCCCTCGCAAGTCCACGAAGGACGAGCTTCTTCGAGACTACTCGTCACCTCTCGAGAAACCACCGATAATTCGCTCGAACACGTGCACCACAATAGAGACGCTAGGAGACTGGAGGTTAGTCTAACAATTCCACGTGAACATAACGTGCATTGTGCATAACTGAAAAGAATAGTTATACATTGGGGAGAACATCGTGGAATGAACCTTGGTGGATGGGAAGGGAAGGGTGGGGAGTAGACATATGAACGTTTATTTCTCATTTATCATATTTTTCTCTGTGTTTTGTTGATTTGCATAGCTCAACAGAGAACGCACCGCCCATTAATCAACGCCGAACACTTCAATTAAGTAAAGACCAAGCAGCTGGATTCGGTTTCACCCTGCAGGTAACGAAATGACAACAATCTTGAGGAATTATAATATTTAACTTACTGCGCCTTTCATGAACATGCGGACTCTAAAATTCAAAGCTCAACCGACAAATGCGTTTTCCGCTACCGTCAATCAAATGTTCGGCGGCGGCTCCTCCCAGCTTCCGACTACTGCCGAGCGCGCGGTAATCAAATCGTTGAGCACAGTTCAGACAACGAAACAGTGCTCGGCAGTAGTCGGAA